TCGCCAGTGTTAAGTCCAGAGAATAATGGCGCTTGAGACGAAGCATCACTAACAAGTCTTTATTGTTTGCTTCCATTCTACGAACAACCAGAGCAGAGGCACGCAGGCCTCTATTTATACCCTCTGATCCCCGGGCAAGTTCAACCAATCATGAGGCGGGCTTTTCCCGCCTTGCGCATGCGCACAAGGCTGGCGCCGCTCAGTCTGGTCCCGGGCAGCTTCTGCAAATGCCCGGGACTCTTGCAACGTCCCGAGCCTGCCTCTTGCAGGCTCAGGACACAACAATTGCTTTATAGCTACTAAATGTGAGAATTTATTTGTGAATTTGAAGATTTGAAGATTCTGCCTCTGTACTGACCCTCTGCTGTGCAGCCATTTTTACATCAAAACTGTTTGTGGACTGGCAGTAGAATTCTCCAGGTTCATCATTCTGGGGGGCTTCAAGCTGCCTTCATTAACTCCAGAATCAGAAATGGCTTAGAAGTTTATAGAGACTATAGATTTCACCTACGTTATTTATGGTCTGATTCACATGGAGTTAAGACCTGGCTTTTATTTCAGTGTAATGGGAAGAAGGACTAACTTTGTGTCATGGACTGAACCCTGTCAAAATTGAGTGGCAGAGAGCTTGGGCCCTCTCATATCTAGGCCCTCTCATATCATTAACTCTAGACAGGACTAAATTACCCCATTCAGAGTTGATGCAGAATTTGGGGGTCCTTCTGGGTTTCTGCTCAAGAAGTAGATGGCAGTAATGGCTAAGTAGGCCTTTGCACAAATCCATCTTGTGCACTAGTTGTGCCCATTCCTAAACAAAGAAATTATGATCATGATCACTAATATCATAGTCATTTCTTAAATAGACTTTTGCATGAGCTTTACATGAATGGCATTCTGCATGCCATTTAAAGGGACTTTTCTTTCTGGCAGTATCTGACCAGCCTGCCAGACTGAATACGGTAGACTCATTCCAAAACTTTTCCCTGAAATGTTACTATCCACTGGCAATTTGGAAATGTGCCTTTTCTATGACTGCTCCTGTCTTATGGGGTACCTTCCCACCTGTTATCTAGCAGGCCCCCACTCTTTTTACTTTCTGTAAGACCATCAGAGGATGACTGTGGTACCATTTTTGGATTGTATTTTATGGCTGATAGTTTAGGGTTTTTATTGTTGTGAGCCATTCTGTGTTGTGTTTTAAGATGGGCAGCCATATAAATTTAATACATAAAGGTGCTAGTAGTCTCCTTTAAAATCCTATAAGGGATGGGCCAGAGTACTTGTTTATCCCAGATAGTTCAAGACCCTTCATGAAATCAGGCAGAATGGGCATGCAGCGTGTCCCCTCAGGGAAGCATTGTCACCTAGTGAAAACTAGGAAGCATATCTTCTTTGTCACATGCCTGACAAACAACTGAGAGTCAAACAACTTCAACCCAATTCACATTCTAGAAATCCTTGGAAAATTGGTTATTCCCTCAGGCGTTGGAACTACAATATTAGTGGTTATGTGTTTGTTATGGTATTAGAAAAATTCTTATGGGCCTTGTCTAGATTTTTTAAACTATTTTTAACCAAGACTAGCACTCGTCTTTACCAAAATACTGTGTGATATAAAAGGCAGTCCAATTTGTCTTCAGATGTCTTGCTTTCATTCCTTTTTTGATTCCATCCATTTCAAAGAATGAGCAACACTTAAATATTTGCTGAATGAGCCTTTCGTCAATATCTGTCTTGCTGCCTGTCACAAGTTCTCCCCACATAACATCTGTATATGGTATGTACATGCGAGGCAATCTGTATGGAAGGATGGAGGAGAAATAAAAGAACATCCTCTGTAAAAATGGTCAAAGAATGACTGCTCCCCAGGAAAAACTGAGAAATACCTGAATATCTGAATTATTTTGGGAACCAGGGGCTGTGAGGGGGAGGGGAAATCACCAAGATTTCAGTTGCAAGAAAAGCCACACAAGGACAGAAACACAAATATGGAATGTATGTTAAATTATACCAGACCGCATCTATTACATGGCTGTAAAAGCTGCATCAGAAAAACTGAATGAAGAAAAATGTTTTTGTGATAATAGATAAAATGATTGTGAATTCTGTGAATAATAGGAAAAACTCATAATTCAGAACTAGGTGAAATAAAATTAGGCTACTTTCTGGAAGCCCTAATAATAAAGGTAAAGTTCAGATATTTTGGATATATAATGGAAATCCAAGAACCATTTGGAGAAGACTCTGATCCTTGGGGAAAAAAAGCAAAGACAAAGATGCCAAAAGTTACCACTGGTAATAGAAGACGTTAATAGATAGACATAAGCAGACGTTTACAAAGATTCAAAGAAGCAGACACTGACAACAATCCTGTTGAAGTAATATCCATTTGATCATAAACAGCTGCCTTGGAAGACAATCTATCTGACAGCTTGATTTTACTTGATTTGTAATATATTTCATGGGAGGAAAATAAGGACATACCCATTACACATTTACTTAATAATGTATCAAGTCATGACTTCAGGCACATGGTTTAATTCAAAACTTTCCTTCATGGGTATCATCTTAATAATAATAATAATTTTAAAAAATCTCATATTAGTGCAATACTAGTACCAGTACTAAGAAATATCTCCAGATGGACAACTCGGATTTTTCCCCTCAATTGAACTGACAGCGTGATTATCACATTATTGCTGTTCAGTGCTACATCATGTATATGTATTCTTTTTCCTGCCCTCAGTTTCTGTAGTGAACAAGTTCATTCTCATTTGCAAGTGACAACCTTTCTGGCATTTATAGATTACTATAATATTTTCCCTCAATCTTCTCTTTGACAAGTCCTCTTTCACACACACACCCAATCCTGGATCTACTTTGGTGTCCACTATGTTTATAGACCACATCGGATCATCGGGAGTTTTCAAAAATTAAGGTCAGAAATTATGAAATCGCTTCCTCCTGCTTCTTTAGCACCCTAGCAAGCAATTAATCTGCCCTGCTAATTAATATTTATTTAAGATAGGCAGGTAGGTACAAGTAGTCTTTGACTTAAAACCACAATTGACCCAAGATGTTCTGTTGCTAAGTGAGACAGTTGTTAAGTGAGTTTTGCCTAATTTTATGGCCTTTCTTGCCACTGTGTTAAGTGAATCACTGCAGTTGCTAAGTTAGTAACATGGTTATTAAGTGCATCTGGCTTCCCCGTTGACTTTGCTTGTCAGAAGGTCAAAAATGGGATCACATGACTCCTAGGACATTGCATCTGTCATAAACATGAACCAGTTTCCAAGCATCCAATTTTTGATCACATGGCCATGGGGATGCTGCAACAGTCCTAAGTGTGAAAATTGGTCATAAGTCTCTTTTTTCAGTGCTGTTGTAACTTTAAATGGTTACTAAATGAATAATTGTAAGTTGAGGACTACCTATATTCATAATATTTTTATTGATCCTGAGCTGTAGTTCACCACCCCACCCAATTTTCCTTAATTGTGTTAATAAGGACACTCTCCCCCCTTCTGAGAGGATGTTTTAAGTACATCCGTGTTGTCTCTTTTCCTCATTTTTTCTCAATTTTCCCATATAATAAACAATAGCTTCCTCATTACTTACCGTTATTCTTGATCATATTTCAGCTCTAATTATCAAACTATTTCTGGATATTTCAAAATGTATAAAGAATTAGACATTATAAATTAGACATTATAATTCTAGTTAAAATCCTAATATTTTATTTACCTGCTGCTGGCAGTAAAATTGGATCAGCGATGACAAGAAAATCATGAAGAATCTGCCTTAAAAAGTTATTGTAAAATTAATTTAAAAAATGTAAAGCACTTTAATTTTCATACACCAGTCCCTGCTGCAAATTCCTTGCCTTTAATAAGCATTAAGTTAAATTTGGGTCTTAGCAATAACAATATTAATCCATAATAATTACTTATTTACAGATACTATTTCAGCTTCTGCAAAAGGTAGCAGAAGTTGATTCACTCTTTGTAGAGTGCAAAGATTAAAATTAATTTTCATCTAAACATTTTAAAATAGAGAACAATATCAAATCAGCCTTTCTGCCTTTACAGATTTAGCTATTTTTCCTTGAAAAATAGGTTTAAATATAGCAGTTATAATCATAAGTAATTCTCAAGTCTCAAAACTGCATTGATCATGAAATGTTAGTTTTATCATTAGACATAATTTAACATGCTTTCCAACTTTCTTTTTCCTCACAGTATCCATAAGAGTCAGAATTTTACTATGCACAATGCATAGATGAGAGAATGAAACTAAAATTTAGTGACAGAAATTAGTTGTCTCTTGATAGTGAATGTGAAGCTACTGTCACATTTCACTTTGCCTGATCATAGACACAATGAAGTAGGATGTGTCTTCAATGAAATGCAATACTCAGATCAAAAAGTTTGCCTATTCTCTCTAACATATTAATACTATTTGCAGTCACGCGTGGGTATTTGCTTGCACATTCTGTAAACAATGTTCTGATAGGGAGGATGGGTACTACACTCTGGAGAAGATAAATGGCTCCTTTCCACAACCTGTCTTGCATGCAGAGATTGCCACTGCTGTCCCACTACCTCTCGTGCATGTAATAGAAATATTTTATACTATGGAAATGCTTCTCTTATGCTACATAAAATGATTGTGAATTCTGTGGATCAGGAAGAACAAATCGTTTTGCATTAGTCGAAATAAAATTAGGCTGTTTTCTGGAAGTGCTAATAATGAAGCTAAGGCTCAAATATTTTGCACATATAATGCAAATCCAAGAATCATTGGAGAAGACTGTTTGGAAAAATCAAAGAAAAAGATGTCAATAGAACAGGAGCTTACAAAGATTCAAAGAAGGAGATACTGACAGATAATCCTGGTGAAGTAATATCTATAGAACTGTATACTCAGGAAAATGGCTAGTTTGACCCTCTTTCAAAGTCATCTGGAAAGCAATATATATGCCTCTCTGCTAAGTTCAACATTTAGTGCACTCCTTTCAGTGAGATGCAATAGACTGCAAGCTGTTCCACTGCTGCTTGCCCTGCTCCCATTTCCCGGATCATCTCTTCTACTTCGGAAAGCTGGCACTGTAACAGTGTCTCAATTTTCTCCATAGATTTCACCTTCCTACATAATTTTTTAATTTCTTCTTTTGCACTCTTTGTTTCTTCTTGTTCCTATTATAAATATCTCATTTATTTCTTGAGTGTAGAACACAGCATTTCCATGTCAGAAACAGTTTTCTGGAGTGATTCTATAGTGGCATTACGTAGATCCAGTCTCTCTCTCAATGAATTTACAATACATTGACAATCTCGTTTTTCTTTCTCTTTCATGGGTAGCTGAGCTTTCACCCTATCTAGTTCATTCTGTAGACTTTCTGCATCCAGTTCTGACTGCTCCTCTAGGGCAATCTCAAAAAACAATTTGTTGATTGTTATATCTTCGGTTCTTTAGGCATTGAATGAAGCAGAGTGTTGAAGCAGCAACAAGTTTATTAACTCAGAACAGAAGCAGCCCTAAAGGCTGATGCACAGCTATTTATACAGTTAGCCTCTAGGTGGCAACCAATAGGTTTAAAGTAACAGTTACCCGCCCCAAACCTCATTATCAGCTTGGAGAAAGACAGTCTGGCTTTCAATAACAGCAATTGTTAAACAATACAGCAATGTAGGTCAGACATTAAGCAAGTGATTTAAAACAGTTCTGGCTAATACATTACACCCCTTCCCCCTAGATGGCTCAAACTCTCAATTGCTGGACATAGTCCTGCAGATATTTAGGCGGCCTTCTTGACCGTTCTGAATGTCTAGGGGTTGCAGGACTCTGGGGTCCAGTGAAGTCAGGTTGACTCGGGTCCCTTTGGCCGGCCAATTCCGGTCGGCCCAAACCAAAGTCCAATTGTGCAGCAAAGTCTGCAGGGCTGTCCCTCAGTGCAGTTTGCCAGTCCTGTTCAGCGGATACTGTCTGTCCGGGAGAAGCTCTCCTACGGCCTTTTCCCCATCTCCTTGAGTAAGAGTTCTGTTGGAGCGTGCAAGCTCCTCTGTTGGGCCGCTGTTGCACAGCCCTTGCATGCAACCCTCTTGAGAGGCCTGAGCCAGCGACTGGTTCACTAGCCTCCAACGCAGCTGATCAATGTGCCGGCGAATGACTTGCCCATCTTCCAGGACCACCTCATAAGAGAGTGGTCCCGACACCCTAACAACCATGGCTGCCACCCACAAAGCCCCTTGCCTGTAATTCCGGGTCCAAACCCGGTCACCTACTTGCAAATTCCAAGGTGCCTTTGGCTGAGCAGAGTTGGGATGCAGCCTGTCCAGCTTGGTGATCAAACGTCAGCCCCATCTGAGTTTGGCAGGGCTTCTGCCCGTGGTGATACAGGGAGTTCTGCATTGGCAGAGTAGAAAATCTGCCAGTCTGTGGTGACAATCCATTTTAGTGATTCCTTGGTTGTGCAGACCATGCGTTCCACTTGGCTGTTCGAGGCCAGGTGAAAGGGAGCCGATGTGGCGTGCCATATTAGATTTGCCCTGAGGAAAGACTGGAATTCAGAAGCAGTAAACTGAGCCCCATTGTCAGAGACTAACACATCTGGAAGTCCATGTGTTGCAAAGATTCTGCGCAGTTCCTGGATGGTCCTGGCAGTAGTCATAGTAGGGACTGGTGCGACCTCTAACCATTTAGAATGGCTATCTACCACTATTAGAAATAGCTGTCCCTGAAAGGGCCCAGCAAAATCGATGTGGATTCTTTTTTTTTTTTTTTTTTTTTTAAACTTT